TGGTTGCTGGAGTCCCTTCCCAGCACGTGCTGAATACCCACTGAGCCCAGTTAGCGGGAAACGACAACGTGTTCACCTCAGCAGCATGTTCAGTCATAAATCTAAAGCCCTTCTCGGTTGGTCACGTTACATTAAGAATCATCTTCTTACCTTCATTTCTCATCAAAGCTGAATTTATCTTTCCCTGCAGCAAGTAGATACAGCCAGACAACGTCTTCACTTTGTTGCGCGCTATGCGTTCCGTAACTGCGTTACTACATCGAAACAGATCTTTTGTGTGTCTGAGAAAAGACAGATAACACAAAGGAGAGAAATAAAACAGCATTTCCATAAAAAGGATCCAAAACTAGAGTACTGACATTCCATGTGAGACTGGCAGCATTATATATTTTTGGAGAGATATAGACACTGGCAGGCTGTGCTGGGTTTTCTTCTCTTAGCTTGGAAGAGAAAGAGTTGTGGCCTCATCTAACACGTGGTCAGGAGACAGAATGAACACGCCAGCCACGGCAGCCGTGAGGCACAGAACATCAGCCTGACACCAAGCTGCAGAAGCAAAATGGACTAAAGGACTCCATCCCGCTCATTACTGCGGTGACACCATTACACAAACTACAGAACTACCATTACACAGGTCAAATGTTTGTTTTCCCCACTGTGATTGTATTTATTTCTGCTCTTCCTGTTTAAAGAGAACAACTGAAGGAGCCCTTCTTCACGTGCAAAAATTGGAGTTAAGAAATTAAGGGACTTCTCCATGAGAAATAAAAAACAGACCCAAGCATTAAAGTAGAAAAATCTACAGGGGTGGGGTGGTGGTGTTTGTTTGTTTGGGTTTTTTTTAATATACTTTTACAACAATAACCAACAGACCAAACTACCGAACAGTATTAAGGACTCAGTTGTTCCAGCCATGAAACAAATGTCAGTTCCTACTACAGATCCTAGCACAGGGTATGGAGCCTCTGCCACCGCTTTGTAAGCTAGGAGATACTAACCACAAAGGAGTATAATACTCTTTTCCAAGGGTGTATTTTCATGTTGTCTTCAAACAACTGTACTGCATGCTAAGCCTCTCCTTTGTTTTGACACTTGTTTTCCTGATCTTGTCACTATTTGAATACAAGCTGACCAAAAACATAACCAAAAAACCCACAGAGACAGTTTTCAGGTGGATCAGCTGCCACCATGGTTCACCCTACAGCTGTAGGAGCAAATACTACAGCACTGAGTTTGACTCAAAGCAGCCACAAAACAGGATTTTTGTGAAATGATGTAGAAGCTCCTAAGACCACTAGTCAGCACCAGTTGGAAGGGGATCTACTAGACTCAGGTCTGGACTTTGGAATAATTTGCATGCAGGCACTCTATCTGCCTCTTGCACACAGGAAGGAATTCACTCTTCCTTGGTAAGGAAGCCGAAACTGCAGCATCACTCTGTACTACCAAAGGCTACGGGTCAGGTCTGTGAGGGTGCAGCTCCCGTGGCCACCTCAGCCCAGCTAAGGGGGGCAACCCCAGCACCCCTCAGCCCCCAGGAATCAGCACAGCAGCGTGGCAGGCTCTGAAGCAAAGGGGCTCAGCGTGCTTAGGCAGAGAACTGCGTTTCAAAACATAATGATAAGAGCTGTAAGCACCGTGACAAGGGCTAGGGTGCAAGCAGAGCGTCCCCGTGGCTGGGGAGGAAAGCAGCAGAAGCGTGGGGAGCTGTTTCCAACAGCTACCAAGATATTCCAAGGTTATAAGTCTCCAAGGTGGAGTTACTCAGCCAGGAGAGGATGGAAGAGCCTTCCCAGCTCAGGTGCTGAAAGCCCACCAACAGGTTTTACATCACATTTAAATCACAACATTTTTTCTTACTTCTCTTTTCCTTCAACACATATTGCAGTGTTATCATCCAGCACTTTAACTCTCCATTTGGTTAGGCAGACAGTTTTCTGTTATAGGGGAAAAAAAAAAGTAATTTTTAAATTAGACTAAGCTATGCAACTGGCCAAAGCCTCTAGGAAACCCAAAAAGCTCCTCACAAAAATACCAAGACTGCACCATACCTCTTACATTTTGTGATCAGTCTTCTATTACTGTTCAGAAAAAAGTTATCCATGAAAAACTGTATATATTAGCTAGGTTATTGCTAAAGTTTAGACAGTATTAGAACAACTAGATCTGATACTGCCAAGCGGGGACACACACCCAGCTGCAGGACCTCCATTTTGCATTGAGCAGCCAGCAAGCCCATTGCGCTTGAGCTGCGGTTTGGAAAACAGTGTGAAACCATACCACTGTTTAAAAAAAGCTGCTCAGAAAACTACTTTGTAACATCTGAAACTATCACTATTTCCCCTCAGGACTTCAGTGAATAAATTCCATCTAAAGGATGTTAGCCTTTTGACCCTGACCCCACCGGGTTCACACCGAGCGAGGAAGGGGACCCGGCACACGTGCCAGCACCTGCTCCATCCTCAGATCTGTAACAACATCCCCTCTGGCATCTTCTACCCAGCTACAAATCTTCAATATTAACAGATACCCATTGCTTATCTAAATCAAGGCTCATCATAACGGTTTTGGGTTTTTTTTAAAATGCAGGAAAACATATCAAACATGCTTGACAACAGTGAGGGAGAATGAAACTATTAACCTGCTTAACCTGAAGAGGACTGCAATCCCCCAGACTTCTCCAGGGAACAAAAGAAGCTCCCACCCGGGAAGGCATGTTCCACCTGCCCTGGGGTAATCCCTGAGGAAGGCAAAACTCCAAATACACCCCTTCCCTTCACATTTATTCAGGAAGTTTTACCTCCTGGCATGTACTGAACTGAAAATAAGACCTGCAGACTAGTCTCCTAGGAAAAAGATTCTTGTCCCACTTAACTCCACAGAAGTTTGGATATTCTGCAGGAAAGCCAAGACTTTTCCCTCGCCATCTGCTGTACAGATTCGGATTAACTTTAGAACCAGCCCACAGCTAGGAAAGATCCTTCCTCCTTGGCTTTGTGTAGGCAGCCAAGAGCTGGACTGGCCAGCAATTTGTTTCATGTCCATCATACCAACATGTGGCAATTAACATCTTAAAGAGAGCGGGTAGGAAGCTCCTTCAGGTAGAGAATGCTTTCAGCCCATACCATGGCTAAACACTAAAACAAAAGCCCTTTTTATGCAAAAAAACCCTACAAAAAAAAACTCGCCTGAATATTGTCATCTTGGAGTACAGGAAAAAAAATCATTTAGATGGAAAAGTGTTTATTAGTAAGATCTAATACAGTAATATTTAGTCTCTTCTGAGCGCTCATTACTTTTGACAAGAAAAAAGATAAATAAATCACAACTATGAGCTACAAGCAGCCCACAGGAATGTATCAACTGCCCTAAAGTATTAGGTTCTCCCACCTCTTGGTCTGCTTTGCCGGCAACGTGATCTGTACCAGGTTTATCCAAATGGACCTTACAGCCTTCTGTCAGCTTCTGCTTCCTCAGAATGTTCACTCTGGGGGGAGAGAGAATCACCCTGCAAAAGCACTGTGAGGGCTTCTGGGGATTAGTCTCTAGTTCCTCTTGCACCCCATGAGCAGCTTCCTTATCACCTGGCTGCAACTCTCTTCCGCCTTGATCAAGTTCAGTACATTTTGCTTCTCCATTTCTCTCCCTTTCTTCTAACTGACCCCCATTTTTTAAAGGGGTGGAGTTCAAATTCACAGAACTAGTCACTGTATTTTGAGGCATTTCATCATCAGTATCCATTACTTCCACACAGAAACTATCCTGATCCTCTCTGTTGGAGGCCACAGGCTCGGGGGGGTCATTCCCAAGCTGCTCAGCAAAAGCAGCTTCGTTTAACGGCTTTTCTGTAGCTGTGGAAGGAGGAATATTCTGCGTGATGGGGTTTGGAGGGGTTGGATCTGCCCATTAAAAAAAAAAATATAAAGAAATTAGTGATATTTGAGAACTAATACAAAATACATTCACAAAGTTAGCTGCATTTAGTAAAAGGAGGCTGCATTGATTAGCACCGCAATTGCAAAAGCTCTGCCTGTCTCAGTTAATGGTAACAGCAAGTCACTCTCTGCATTTCTTCAGAGTAGCTTTTCCTCACCACCAGATCAAAACCCCTGCTCTTACTGACTTCCAGATAGCCCACTTTTCCCCCAAACCAAGCCAATGCACATCGTATCCGTTAATAGCGGATCTTTACCACTCCTCCTCTCTTATTTTTCTCTGCAAGGAGAATCCATTAAGATACCTGTTTTCACAAAACCCAAAATCTCAAATATTTCCACCCTTCCTGACTTCAAGACCTGGACTTCTGGCCATGCTGCTGCTCTGCTGGGAGCTACACGTAGCCTTGGGTTTTGAGTTTTCAGATCAATTAAGTTCAGTTTGAAGTTGAACACTACTAAGACTCTGGCGCATGTCATTTTCTTCACCCGCATTTTCAAAACTGAATTACAGGACAGAAGCATAGACAGGGTCACTATCAAGTAACAACATGGAAAACAACAAATACGAGAGAATTTCTCATGGAACCAAACCGTTTCTCATTAAAAGCTAAGGGGGACCCAAAAGAAAGAGACAGCAAATAAGAGGTTTAGGACATTTTTTCCACCAAGTTTCACATTCAAATGACCAGGTGTTACCCTTCATCTCGGAAGAACTCTTAACCACATCAGGAGCCTGAAGGCAAATGGCTTTTGTTGTCAGGGGAGACAGCACACTCAAAAGGAGTAGCGATGTCAAGCTCCAAGGTCAGAAGCCTGCAGCCCCAAACCATAGATAAACCAAGCCTAAGGCCATCTCCAGGTTTGAAAAGGCAGGTTTGCAGGTTTCTTCCTCTATTTTCCACTGCACGCAGAGCGCGAAGAAGAATGATACTCTGCCAAAGCATGCGAGAGATGACAAGCAAGAGCAGAAACCCCAAAGAGAAGGAGGCTGTCACAGTGTTCCAGAGCAACACCAGGTACCTCTCTGCTGCTGCTGCAATTTCTGCTTTATCCGCAGGAAGAACTTCTGAGGGGATTCCAGTACAAGAGGGTCTATGGGTAGTGCTTTCATGGCTTGCTTCTCCGGAATCTTAGTGCAAAACAGTTCTGGAAAATCGTAATACAAAACAAAAATCTTAGAATTTGGGCAAGAAAAATATTTTTATGTTCGGGGCAGGGGAAGCAAAGTACATACTCTGTAATATATTAAACTCCACTACACAACAACATGTTTTCTTCTCTTTCCAAGATGGCTGGGCACTGCAACCTTACCCTTCTCATCAGTGAGAAACACCCTCAAGTGTGTGTCTGCATGTGTGGGCATAAGCCAACCCACAGCAGTCACCAGGAGCTTGCAGGTGCCCACAAATGGGACATCTCTCAGAGCAGTAAGGCCTAACAAGTAGCACCAGTACCAACCCCTTTTGCTATTGGATTTAAAGTCATTATCGGTCTGTGATGTGATGATGCAAGGGTAAAAGTTGAGCTTTGGAAATCTGCTGTTAGAAAGGAAAGAACACTTCAGGAGCTTACACCTTTCCTAAAAAAACAGAATCACATAATGGTTTGGTTTAGAAGGGACCTTAAAGCCCACCCAGTGCCACCCCCTGCCCCGGGCAGGGCCACCTTCCCCCAGCCCAGGTTGCCCAAAGCCCCGTCCAACCTGGCCTTGAACCCTTCCAGGGAGGGGGCAGCCACAGCTTCTCCGGGCAGCCTGTGCCAGGGCCTCACCCCCCCCTCACAGGGAGGAATTTCTTCCTTACATCTCATCTAATTCTGCTCTCTGAGTTTAAACACATCATCCCTTGCCCTATCTCTACACCCCCTGAGTCCGTCCCCCCTTTCAGCCCTGGGGGGCCGCTCTAAGGTCTCCCCGGAGCCTTCTCTCCTCCAGCTGAACCCCCAACTCTCCCAGCCTGTCCTCACAGGGGGGCTCCAGCCCCCCAGCATCTCCGTGGCCTCCTCTGGCCCCTCTGGAGCAGGTCCGTGTCCTTCTGCTGTTGGTGCCCCAGAGCTGGACCCAGCCCTGCAGGGGGGTCTCCCAGAGCGGGGCAGAGGGGGAGAATCCCCCCCCTCACCCTGTGCCCACCCTGCTCTGGGTGCAGCCCAGCACACCGTTGCCTTTCTGGGCTGCCAGCGCACGGTGCTGGCTCACAGGCAGTTTCCACCCTCCAACCCCCCAAGTCCTTCTCCTGGGGGCTGCTCTCCAGCCCCTCCTCGCCCAGGCTGGGTCTGTGCTGGGGATTGCCCCGACCCTCGGGCAGGACCGTGCCCTTGGCCTTGTGGAACTCCACGAGGTTTGCAGGTCCCCCCTCTCCAGCCCGTCCAGGTCCCTCGGGATGGCACATCCCTGCCCTCAGCGTGTCCCCGCACACACAGCTCGGGGTCGGCGGGGAACTTGCTGAAGGGCCTCGATCCCGCTGTCCGTGTCATTAATGACGATATTAAACAGTCCTGGTCCCAGCCCCGAGGACGCCGCTCGTCACCGCTCTCCACTGGGACATGGAGCTGCTGACCACAGCTCTGAGTGTGGCCATCCAGGCAGCTCCTCACCCCTGAACATTCCACCCATCAAACCCATGTCTACCCCACTGAGAGGGAAGGATGCTGCAGAGGACTGTGTCAGAGGCCTTACAGAAGCCCAGCGAGATGATATCCGTAGCTCTTCCCTTGTCCCCTGACGCAGTCCCTCCACCCTAGAAGGGCCCAGGTTGCTCAGGCAGGACTCGCCCTTGGCACAGCCACACTGGCTGTCCCCAAGCACCTCCCTGTCCCCCGTGCCCCTCAGCACAGCTCCCAGGATCTGCTCCGTGAGCTTCCCAGGCACGGGGGTCAGGCTGCCAGGTCAGCAGTTCCCAGGGTTCTCCTTCCTACTTTTTAAAAATGTGGGCAGTGCTTCCCTTTTTCCAGTCACCATAATAATACTTTCATCTCATTTTTACTGTATCCAGCAGAAATACGGAGAGTAACGAGTGGTTTTATGTTACAGCCAGGAGATTTAGGAAGACTTCTTCACATCTAACTATAAAACGAGGGCAGGGCCACCTCCACCACTGCAAGTTCTTTGAGAACAGCTCCACAATCCCCCAGTGAAAGCAGTGTACAGCTGCCCATGCTGCTGGCCAGGCAAGACAGGCTGAGCACCTTGCCTAGTTTCCTGCAGTTATCTCTTAAAATGAACACAGACAAACCAGGCAGGTCTTAACCCCCACCCAAAACTGGATAAAAGTTTACTACAGGGGATTGCCAAGTACTGCACTTGAAAGAGGAACACACGTAGTGATGAAGCATAACCCTTCTGATCAGCCAGGCAGTATTTCAGTTGGTGTCCCACTCTGGGCACTCGCAGCGTGAGAACAACAGGGCAGCACCGTGGGACACCTTCCTCGTTAAACTATCTGTCACCCTTAGAGATACTCGGGAGGCAGAAGGAAGGCCCTTCCTTCCCCCTCGGCTACAGCAGCTTTACAGGCAGGGGCACAGCGCTCCCAAATTCCCATTATGTCTGTCAGAAACAGAGGATGAACTGGAAAAGCCATCAGAGCAGGCAGCCCAGGGAAACACCCCAAAAAGATTTGAAAACCCAAACAATTCTTCCACCAGCCTCTCATTTCTGTATTGATCGTGGGGAATAGTTAAAGTAATAGTTTTAATTTTTGTAAAAAAACTTATTTTTAACTTTTAACTTCTTTTTAACTTTCTCTGAAAGTGTCAATCCCATTCACAAACAGAACAGAGGGAGTTGTTAAAGCCTGACTGAGCAAGAAAGGGAAAAAAAACCATGGGAGGGATTCCTATAAGGTAAGGAAAGGGGAAGAGAAATCAGCTGTGCTATGGACACATCTTAACATCCATCCAAACTTGTTTTTTCCTAAAATAAAGAAAAAAGAAACAACGCAAACGCCCGGGGGAAAGTACTGGCACCAATAGTTTTTACACTTACGAACACGCACTGGCTGCCTTTTCCAGAGCCTGGAAGAGTCATCATCCAAAGGCAGAAGAAAGTCACCCCGAGCTACACGTTAAACGCGAGAGAACCTTCCCAGAAAAATCAAGCGAACAAACCTTTTTCCAGCTGGATGTACCCAGCGAGCACCTCGGCGGGTCCCTGCCCGCCCTCCTTTGTGACCGGTTTCTTCAGCCTCCGCCGCAGGTCCCAGGGATTGAGGGGGGGGGACAGGATCAGGTCCCTGGTGCGGGCGCTCGGCGGCGCCTTTCCGGCGGGCAGCCCGGCGCCCTGCTCCCCCCGCAAGGCCCGGGCCTTCATCCGAAGGAAGATTTTAGACGGGGACTCGTGGGCGGGAAGCTCGCTGGCCCGTCGCTTCAGACACCGCCCGGGGCCAGCGCCGCCAGCCGCCGGGGCCTCGGCATGGCTCTCGGCGGCCGGGTTCTCCCCAGCTCGGCTCTCGGCGGCCGGGTTCTCCCCAGCTCGGCTCTCGGCGGCCGGGTTCTCCCCAGCTCGGCTCTCGGCGGCCGGGTTCTCCCCAGCTCGGCTCTCGGCGGCCGGGTTCTCCCCAGCTCGGCTCTCGGCGGCCGGGTTCTCCCCAGCTCGGCTCTCGGCGGCCGGGTTCTCCCCAGCTCGGCTCTCGGCGGCCGGGTTCTCCCCAGCTCGGCTCTCGGCGGCCGGGTTCTCCCCAGCTCGGCTCTCGGCGGCCGGGTTCTCCCCAGCTCGGCTCTCGGCGGCCGGGTTCTCCCCAGCTCGGCTCTCGGCGGCCGGGTTCTCCCCAGCTCGGCTCTCGGCGGCCGGGTTCTCCCCAGCTCGGCTCTCGGCGGCCGGGTTCTCCCCAGCTCGGCTCTCGGCGGCCGGGTTCTCCCCAGCTCGGCTCTCGGCGGCCGGGTTCTCCCCAGCTCGGCTCTCGGCGGCCGGGTTCTCCCCAGCTCGGCTCTCGGCGGCCGGGTTCTCCCCAGCTCGGCTCTCGGCGGCCGGGTTCTCCCCAGCTCGGCTCTCGGCGGCCGGGTTCTCCCCAGCTCGGCTCTCGGCGGCCGGGTTCTCCCCAGCTCGGCTCTCGGCGGCCGGGTTCTCCCCAGCTCGGCTCTCGGCGGCCGGGTTCTCCCCAGCTCGGCTCTCGGCGGCCGGGTTCTCCCCAGCTCGGCTCTCGGCGGCCGGGTTCTCCCCAGCTCGGCTCTCGGCGGCCGGGTTCTCCCCAGCTCGGCTCTCGGCGGCCGGGTTCTCCCCAGCTCGGCTCTCGGCGGCCGGGTTCTCCCCAGCTCGGCTCTCGGCGGCCGGGTTCTCCCCAGCTCGGCTCTCGGCGGCCGGGTTCTCCCCAGCTCGGCTCTCGGCGGCCGGGTTCTCCCCAGCTCGGCTCTCGGCGGCCGGGTTCTCCCCAGCTCGGCTCTCGGCGGCCGGGTTCTCCCCAGCTCGGCTCTCGGCGGCCGGGTTCTCCCCAGCTCG